ACTCAGGAAACTCTCCACGCTACAAGCTGATGCCATTGCTTGTTAAAACCTACAGCCCATTCAGATTTAGACATCTGATAGATTAGAGCAATGCTTTGAGTGCTTGCTCTTCAAAATATGCTAGAAACTCCCCAAAATGATTTGTACAGTACTAGTTTCTCCCTTTCGGTGCATGTTATGATGCTGTGCTCATTTCAGGATGCCAATTTTTTTTTCTTAAATAACTACAGATTCTTTCAGCACACAGCATAAGCAGTTAGTCTATATCTTATTCCATATCAATTGAATGCTGAGAGTTTTATCTGCAGACATAAGTTACCTGCAGTAAATCAGACTCTGGAAATCTTGACTTAAGACACCCAGAGAGAGAGAAACTATCAGGTACTGTAAGAAACTTGCCTTGTCTCACAAGAAACTCTGTGATAAATGCAGGGATGAAATCTCCTTAGGACAACACTCAGCTATCTAACCCACAAGGTGATTCCTTCTCCTGACATCTCCTGCCTCATTCTTTCAAGCAAAAAGATGGACTCAAGACCATGAATTGCGGACCAGCAATGCCAAGCATTTCCAGAGCCATATGACGGCTTTGTCCTACCACAAAATGGCGTTAAATCAAATGTATGAACTCTGAAAATATTAAAACCAAAGTCAACATGCTTAGAGAGGACAATGCTGGGCCACATGACTGAAGGCAGGTATAAATAATATGAACACCCCATGTACCAGACAGCAAGTCATATCCTGCTATGTGCAGGATAAAGCATCTCAGTAACTATGTTTTCCATTTTATTCTCAACAATTGTTCCAGTGACACTTAGGATCTTACTTGTTGTTTTAAATATGCAATATTTTGTGTTTATTGACACTGAAGTTCAGCTGACATCTAATCACTCAACTGCTCAACCCATCAAATCCTTCTGCAATTCTATACATAGCATAAAAAAAAGCAGCAGTCACCGTAACCTATGTATATGCTTTCCAGTCATTTCTGTATATACTGAACAAACAGCTATTTATTCCTACATTTTCTGTTCCTTTTTTTAAGCCAGCTGGTAACCTATGAACAGATTTTCCCTGGCTTTTCATTGAAGCTCCGAAGACTGGCTTTAGCAGATGATCCCATTCTAGTAGCTGAATTGAATTTCTAGGTTATAGATGGTGCTCAAGCCTTATATTCTGGGTGAAAGTCCACATACACACAAAGAAAAGAATGAATTTGAAAAACTTACAGGGATTCCTATTATATTATCTTTAGCACAGTAGCCAAATTTCCAGAACAGAGCTTGAAGAAAAATTAGCAGGCATAGAAAAATTAAAACCCCCTCCCCCAATTAAAACAAAACAAGTTTAAGCCCCATACTCCAAGGGTTAAAATGTCATTTCCCAGAAGGCATAAAAAAACCCAAACATATCCTAACGGACTATGCAAATTTTGTGACTAAAATACATTCTTTTCCTTGCTTCTCACATAGCAAGACACAGCTTGAATTGAAAGGACCAGAACTTTTACTCATGCTCTGCGTATATGAATTATAAGAGTATATTAGTTCAAAAATACTGCCCCTGCAGAAGTCATGTTCAGGAACATCATTTGCTGTGTTCTCCCCATCTTCCAGGGTTGCCCAAGCAGATAACTGACTGACATCTGGCAGCCAGAACTCTTTAAACCAGTGTAAAGAAGAGGTCTGAATGACTACATAGAGAAGGAAAGAGAAATATATGATATCAACAGAAAAAAATTCAAAAGCATTATACTATCTTATCTATTTCAGACTAGTAGGGTCATCTGTAAGTCCAGTAGCAGGTACCCACAGAGTGCACACCTCTGCATGAAAGAACGAAAGAGCTTGTCTTCCACATGTCATGTACAAATAGACATTTCTAAAACCCAAGGAAAGGGCAAGTCTGAAAAAAAATTTTCTCAGTCAATGAACTTAAATAAGATAGGACTAGAATCTATCTAATTTTCTTGGGACAAGAAGTCAATAATGATGTAACACCTCCAAACTGAAACCAAGGAACATTTTATTTCACTTAAGAATTAGAATGACCTTGTTGAAGCGCAGTTTAGCAAAAAGGGAATCTACAAGAGATGTCCACATTTAACCTAGAATTTTCTACAGCGTTCACTTCTCAGACACTTGAGCTTTGAACCCTAAGGAAGGAGGCTGTGTGTCACCTATTTGCACAGATCTATTGCAATACAGCTGTAATCCTAAAATGGGGCTCTTGATGCAAATAAACACCATCAAAACCACCAATTCAGCCTTCCACAAAACTTAGACAGAACTGAAAACATATCATTACAAGCAATCTTTACAGAACATAAGAATAACGCTAAACTCCGTATGACCTAGTGCAATGAGGAATATGGTCAGACCTCATTGTACTGTTAAAGGTCTGATGAGACACAGATATTCAAAGACAAGAGTAACAACAATGCAAAAATAAATGGTTATATCCAGTTAGCCTTCAGTAATTTTCAAATTAAAACAATTCATTTCCAATAGAAAAGTCAGTGAAGTGCAATGATTAACTTCTCTCAGTCCATTTAAAAATTCAAGCCTCACTCACTAATCAAGCTGAACTTAGAAAACCTAAAATACTGCCTCAAACCAAAACCTGCCCTTCTGCTCTTGCAAGTTTCCTCTCCCACAATATAAAGTTGATTGAAAATGGGTATCAAACATCCATTTTGATTATAGTAAAGGACTATTACTCATCTTCCCTTAAATTCACCTATTAGGCATTTTTCCTTTTTGGTGAGCTCCTAGAAAACAATAAACATTTTCTATTTTCCTGAAGATGTTTTTGCAGTTGATAGATAAAACAGCATGTGAGGTTGCCTTGAACTGCTCTTCATCAGAGAGCTTTTCATTCACGTTAAATATTTCATTTTCTCTTATTCCAGTTGAAAACCAAAAGAACCACATTAAAAGGTATTCAACAAAATCACCTTTTATCAGTAGGCAGAGATGCCCACTGGTTTAATAAATCCACTGATTAAGAAATTTCTTCACTGAAGATAAGTGAAGACCTGCTGGGCGTCACAATGGTCATTATCTTTTTTTCTGTCACTGAATGGGTCTGAATGTGAATCGGCTAACAGGGTGTGAAACTAGACAATGCAAATACAGAAGAAAGCAAACTTAGCATATTGTGATTAAAGACTGTTTATTTACTTGTTTGCATGAGTTTGCGCTTCCATTATCAGACTGGAGAACGCAATTCTGCAACAAAAACTGTAATTTCAGCAGCAAATTTATCCAAGTAGATGTGAAATACTTCCACATTTGTCACAAATATCACAGAAATTCAGGCCAGAGACAAGAGGAAAGGCATGACGTATCTTCACAAAACAAAGCTAATGTGGTAGAACTAAAAAGTCGAAACAGCTGTATTAGTTCTTCAAGAAAAGAAGGTGATAGTAAAGGTAAGGCAGTTACCAGGATCATCAAATTTTGTTACCTTCAGCCTGCTGATTTGAGGGACCTATTCTCAAAGACAAATGAAGATCAACAATTTACACATGCTAGAGTGCCTGCAGAGTGCTCTCCAAAAGAAGTGGGCAGAGCACTCTCCAGCAGAGAGGCAGTGAGCAGAGCTTGCCACTAAGTATACGATAGTTCTGATATCTTCTCACTATGTCATCTCTTCCCCACCCTCATCTCTTTTGGACCGGGACTAGCTTTCATGTGTGTTTACAAAGCCTGATTGCTTTCGGGGCCTGTAGATCTCAGTTAAATACAAGTAATAAACTGACACTGCTGCAGGTCATTATACTAAAACGTGCATAAACCACGCAAATGTTTTTCAGCAAATAGGCTAAGGGAAAGATGACACTTTGATAAAAAGCATTTGAAAATTTTACTTTAAAACCATAAAGATTAAAATAAACCATCTTTCAAGTTTTAACACATGCTAACAGGTACCTAACAGTCATAGGACTACATCAACTGCAAGAGAATACGTGAGGGAAACAAAGCAGCTCAGAGGAAACATCTCAGTGAGAAAGCAAGCAACCCAGACTTTTCCAGGACCTTAAAAGGTCTTTCTCAGATGCCTGGACTTCTACCAGTGTATTGTCCTTGAAACTTATCTTGAAACACCACCTTTTACAACAGCCTCTGACTTGTGGGTGTCTTAATGAATTTAAAACTCACATCTCATTCTAACTGCTAGAAGATGAAAGCAGCTTTCGAGCAGTCACTTAATACAGGTAATTTATCATAATATGCTTGGGAGTACCTTGGAATGTTACCTTAATAAAGAGATGGTGTAGCACCCTCAGATATATTACGGTTGTGACGCAAACTGAATGTTCCTTCTTCAGACTTCTAAGCATGAGAGCATATGGAGTATTTGTCTGACGAGATTTAGAGATTTATCTGAATAGCAGACATTACTTATAAGAACAAATACTGGATGAATCAAGGAGCATGTATAGGGAGTGTTTAATCTTTAGCATGCCAGTTTGAAACCATAAAGGTCAATTGAAAACAAACATCTATGTGATGCTAAGTTTAGAGAGCCTACAAAATGAGTCAGTAGATAGTCCAATTCTTTCAGAAACTACTGCTATATTTTATATCATTGTTGGTAAAGGGCAAAATATGATTAAAACCAAAGGTACACTAAACTCTACATGAAGGTTAAGGCAATAAAAGTATTAAAAAGTGTTACAAAGTATTATAGAAGTATTATAAAAGTAATCTTCTGACAACAAAGACTGTTAATCTGTTCCCTTCACAAGCCAATAAAGTGATACTGTAACTCCCTATGCTACTGGTGACTTCAATGAAAACATCCTTTTACCAAGTTTGAACACATCCTGCATCTTCTTCAATAACACCACCTTTTTCCCTATCAGCTGAAATATGTGCAACAGATGAGCACTTTTGAAATTAAATGCTGCATTCAACACTATGAAATATTACAAATTTTTTTTAATCTCCGTGTTCTTCACCAAAACATAAAAGTCATGTGAAAGCTCATACCTGAGGCCGCATCCTTGGGTTCCATCTGATGTAGTAGTTCACCCATAGTTCCAAATGGTTCAGACTGGCAACAGGATACAGGACATGGTTTTCATAGTTTACGTAGAAAGGATTTGTGAACTCATCTATCTGGCTGTTTATATACGACCACAGCGATATGGTCTTTGTGCTTACCTCCTGATTGAAAAAAAAAAAAAAAATTATATGGACTGCAATACCTTAAAATATGAGGTGAATATCTACATATCAGTAATTCTGTCTGTGAAATTTACCCTATCTACTAGAAAACTGCAAGCACTCTGAGAACACTTCCAGTAGCTCATCATTAAACAGCCTTAAAAATTTAGCAAAACATTTGAACACTTATTCTGGTCTAAGGCTAAACAAGAAAGGAGATTCAGGCATATTATTTTCAGAGATACTAAGGTCGAGCTGAGCAAAAGCGAGCTGTATTGCTCGTAATGTACAGCAATTTTTACAGCTACTTAAATATATGGTTGCACACTGACCAACTAAAGAAAAGATAAAATTAAATTAGCTTTGACAAGAAAATCAGTGTAGAGATATGTAGTTTGGAAGATCCAAAACAGCATCTGTGAAAAATAATTATACAGTTCTCCCACTCACGCTATTTACTCCTATCCATTGGATATTATGCTTTAACATGCCTATTTTATCTTTATTTGCACTTCTGAAAGTTGTATTATGCTAAATGTAATCAGCATAATCATGGTTAGATCAAAGATTGGAAATCTGAACTTACATCAGATTCATCTTGCAATTTTACACTCCTTCAGTGTTGTAAAGCATGTGTTTCTACTACCACTGTGTCTTAAATTGTATTTCTTTATTGAGAATTGCATCTGACTATTCATTTATGAAAGCAAGCTGTCTGGAAACCCTGCATTTGCTGAGAACATGTTATTCAGCTCCATCTTGTGGTATTTACATGCAACTTTTTCCCTACAGAAGCAGTAGAGACAAACCAAAAAAATAGCAAGGCTAAATATGGCAAGGAATTGTTACTTGCTTTAAAAAATATGAAGTATTAAAAACAACAAAGCCAAAAGTAAGCAAAAGTGTACTTGGAATATTAACAAACTTGGGGTTGGTTTTTTTTCCCAAACTCAAAGTATTTCATTGAGTCCTAACTTCATTCATTTAGGTATTTTAAATTTCCATAGTCTTCTACCATAAGTTCCATCTAATTATGTCCTGAAGTGACCTGCAAAGTCATCCATAGGAGTTCCTTTGGAAATAGTGAAAGAAATGCTAATATAATTTGATAATGATTATTTAAAATTGTGTATGTTGTCTAGAAATATCTGAAAGAGGACTTCCTAAAAGCCTCAAACCCCTGAACAGGTAATAACTAAAGAAAAGTTAAGTGCCACCTCATTTAATAGCAGGGCATTCAGTATACATTTCTCATACCATGAAATTTCATTTCCACATTGTCTTTTAAGATTATGTGACAAATGTATCCAAAACCACAGCTCTGATGTTCTTAGTTCTTATATTCTAAGCATGTATTACACTAATCACTTACCTCTTTTAATCTCTCTTTTTCACAGTTGCACAAGAAAGTCCCAAAGAGACAACTGTAAAGGTGATCCAGAATGGTGATCAAAAATAACTCGTTGAATTCAAAGGCTGCAGGAAACTGAAATAAAAAAATGGTAAAATTACTTTAAACTTTATTTTAAGCAGTGTAGAAAGGAAGAAACCCAGACATAAGAAATAACCAAAAGATTGGGATAAGATTTTCTTATTTAGTGATTATTTTCAGGAAAACTCAGCAATTTCAGTAACTCCCATTGCAATAATACATTTCACCTACATACTTCTTTATAAATACTCCTCCGAGACAAACGTCACATTCATTGTGCAAGTATACTAGAATACAAACATAGAAACATTAGCTAACGTGAAACTGGTGACACAAAGCAATTCATTTTCAGGAGCTGTAACAGTGTTCTGTTCTAACCCACCCCAAACCGTCTTCAACATATGCCTTACTTCTTTTCTTACAGGTCAATAAATCATTGGGGGGAAAAAAAAAGAAAAAAGATGATGATGATATTTAAGAGTTTTATTTCCTATTCTAACATGCAATGAATTGGATAATAAAGAATACTGCATGTACAATGTGCTTAACATATATTCAAAATGTTTCTTTCACTTTCTACCCAAGTTGAATTTACCATCAGCTATGTACAATAAGCCTCTAATCGCTCTTCTTTTATATTGGAAAGTAAATCCCGTACATCTGAAATGAAAGAACTGTCATTCCATTGAGCACCACTAGGTATTTTATTCACAATCAGAGGTTACCTGACACATTCTAGAAAAAAGAGTTAGAAATTTGAAACCACTCAAAATGTTTAAGATATATCTTAATCTGTAGTGCTCTAAAAATCATAAAGAAGGAAATTAATGCAAACTGCATGGGGTACTACCTATTCAGATGGAAAAGGTCCTTCTTCGATCAAATTTTATGATAGGACTACATATGGCAACTGCTTGATATGTCAAAATAACTTTGCATTCAGTATGACAAGGGTCTCAAACACAGATACGGAATGATAAACATGTAGGAAAAAAAAATTTAGAACACTAAAGGAAAATTTTAGAAGTAGCATTTCTCTCGTTACCATCAAAGAGAATGTTATAAGAGACTAATTTTCAGGACAAATGAAATAAGTTTTGTTCATTTCTACTAAAAGAGTAAATCTTTACAGAAGCCTAAAATGCAAAGTTATAGATTCATAAGGATGAATTTCCTGCTATATGGAGAAATCTCACGTCAATATTCAGATCCGAAGAAAGCAGCAGACTGGTTTCTGTTATGTGCCACTGAAGAATACTGAACACCTTGGCATGAGCGACTCAAGAGCTACTTTAAAGGAAAAAAAAAAGACGACAAGTATAGCTAGGAGGAAAAATGCAGCAATTGGGACTGCGGATGAACTAGCTCATCCAGAAAGCCCTCTTCAGTGTCATCTGTGATTTATGAAGGGCAAATGTTTATTCATGTTGAAAGTAAAGAGTTGAATAACACACAATGGGTGTGCTTGTATTAAACCCAGAAAGATCCAAGTTTAAGGCAAAGTTCTTTTAAAAGAAGATTGATTTAAGTCAAACATTGCAAAACCATTCTCTTTCCAAGACTTCTCAAGCTAAGATATATCAACTTTCAACTGAAAATTTTGAGTAAGGAAATTATCAATATCATGGCTCACAATATGAATGGGAGCCTTCCTTCTTCTGACTCTGCTACAGATGACGCACTGTTCAACAGTATGGCGTGCTCACACTGGGGCTTCTCTCTCAAATCACTGGTTTGTTTTCAGTTACCTAGCCACTTGTTTTTATGAAACATATAGGAACTTAAGATGATCAAGTTCTCTTTTTCAGTCATGTTCAAAAGTTATCACTTGCAGCACTTCCTTCTCTCTAGGAAATCATGCCAAAACTCAGTTACAATACAGTGATGTTAACAACACAGCTATGATTTTAAAACAGTATGAACAGAACTTGATAAACAGGTGTGCTGAACTGAGTCAGGAGAAAATTCAGTGGGTCTCAGACCTCGATCTCCTGTCTCCAGCCCAAAGCAGCAATCAGAAACAGGGAGCAAAAATAATTTGCGAAGGATCAAAATTGTATTTGGAAATAACTTTGAAGACAAAGCCTCTCTTAAAGGGACTCTCTTTAACTGAAAGCACTTAATGAGCCTTGTCACATTAGAGTTCTGTGTTGTGACGGGTCCATACTAATCAGATGAATGCCGACATGGCCGCTATTCCAATCCAGTGAAGCATATTCAAAATTCCATACATCAGTGGTTGCACTCCAACTAATTTATTAATAAGTGATAGCACTTTATTGAAACCCTGTCTTTGGATACAAGAGTTGTACTGTTGGAGCTGATGTATCAAGACTGTAAAGCTTCTATTACTGCTGCTGAAAAATCACTGACCTAAAAATGCTTTCCTCTGTAGTTCCAAGCCCATTAGCGTCTGTTTGAAGATTCAGGTGGAAAAATTCCCCAAATGAAAATTTACTTCTTGTCAAATCCACTAATTGTGAGAGAACACATGGGTCATTAAAATTTCGCACTTGATGCTACTGGAGTTGTTGAGGGGTTTTGTAAAGGAGGTATTTAAAAGAAGAATTCTCTTGTTTAAAAGCCTGATGATGCCAAGTGGCATCTGATTCAGAGACATGCTAAATAAACTTGCTTTTTAATCAGTGAACTCGTTCTGTACTACAGTAACATTTAAAGTTGAAACACTTTGCAGAATACTTCTTATGATTGTGGAATTGGACTGAATCAGGTTAACTGAACACTAGATATCATAACAGAGTGCACTACTCAAACTAGTGAAAAATGCATCTCTGGCAACAGATGACAACCAGTAACAAATAGAATGCAACTTTCTACCAGCTTTAAACATACCTTCCTCCTATCCAGGTACTGTGCATGAAGGGTAGAAAGCTACTATTTGAGCTGCAATGCTACATGCAAATCTTGGTTTTGTTTCATTTTTAACAGGGCATCAGTATTTCATTAGATCACATGTGGCCTTTCCAGTTTGACATCTGCTATTCAAAATCACCAGAATTTACTAACAGAGGACGGAAATTACTTCACCATATGTTTTTTATTAAAATCTGATACAATGTACTTCTCTCAAGTTCTCTATTACTGTATTTGTGTGTCATGAAGACCATAAAAAACAAGGGAAAATATAAGGCTGTCAAGGATTAAGTTTCATTGTCTGAAGCTATCTGGAAATCTGTATCTTAGTGGGAAGTTAGAGATTCTCTCACTGTATTAAGTCAACTGTTTTAAGAATGTAATTCTCAGAACCCAAAAGAGAAAATTTGCTGGCTTTCAGCCCATGCCCAAACCCAAGCCCTGACACCCTCCTGCAGTCATTAACACTTATTTGAGCTTTGGAACATTTCACATATGTTTACCATGGATTCTAAAGCACGAAATTAGCACTGTTTTATGAGCAAGTGATCTATACAATGATAAAATAGAACCCTGGTTTTCATAGGTCCAAATCAAGGTAATCACAATCTTCAAATCTATTCTCTAGGTATTGAAGTCAACTAAAAAATAAAAATAAGTACACAAGAACTCTCCAAGAATGACATTTTCAATTTTTTTTCCTGCGGTAACATTAATGATTTTTCAATGCCACTGCTGCTCATGAATTTCAGAAGAGTTCCTGGACCCAGGTTTTGAACAGATGTGGTACTGGCAAAATGCTTCACAGATTCCCCCTACCACAACCCATCCCTTTTTGGTTTTTTTTTTAAACTAGAGGGAACTAAACTGTTTATAGCAAGAAATAGGAGGCAGCGAGGGAGATCACAAAAATGGAAGAGGCTGCTCTCAATTAAGGATCTCCCCAGAGGACTTCTGTTCCTACCAGGTGTTTAGAACTGCTTCTCTTTGCTATTGTTACTAGCTTTCCTCTGAGAGAGGGACAGAATTTTTCGGTTTTTTTTTTTCTCCAGCCATACTAAACAGCACATTAATGCTGAAATACAGATACACAGAAAGTCTTCAAGGGACTCTGGACAAGGGCCCAGTATTACAGCAGGGAACTTTCATAAAGCACCAAAGACGACTGTTTTGAATACAAGTTTTGGAAACTATGATGTAAGTTTTTAAGAACCATGTTCAGAACAAGAAGACTAAGGTAAGAGATCTGGGAGTGCTAGCACCATATGGAACCACACTGTCAGCCTTCTCTTTTCAAAGCAAATCACATACTATACAGACTTCAGTACAATAGCCTTTACCATAACAGCACAGATCTATGTTAGGCTTCAAGGAGAAAAAAAAACAAAGAAAAAGGAGTCAAGCACTTCTAATTTACTTGGAAATCAAGCCTTCATGTGGACAACCTATTTCAGTAACCCCATTAAAGAACAGTAATATAAAAGCTCAGAAAAATCTTAAGTTTATGCTCATGGAGATACAAATAAGGAAAATGAAGGCTAAAGCCATTCTATAATTTAACATATTCAGAAAAAAAAAAGAGAATTTTAATATTTTTATATCTTAAATATCACTAATTTCAAAGATGTGCCCTGATCCAGAGGTAAAAGTGTGTTGGAAGTAAGAAAACTTACCTGAGAATAGGCTTGTATGTTAGAAATGCTGTCCTATATACATAATGATGCAACATTAACTGACATTTCACATTTGAGACATACATAGAAGAACTCTCTCCTCCCTTCAGTTCACAATCAGCCTGGATTTTTGCTGTTTCTTAAGGACAATATAAATCCATACGAACATTTATTTCACCAGTGAATATGCAATACAAATCATTTATCTCATCAATAACCCTCATATAGGTAATCAGAGAATCCTTTGAAGGCCTATTTTAAACTAAAAGGAATCCTGGTATTTTGGTTTCAGGTCAATACTTCTACTCTAGCTCCTAGCACCTCACCGAGCAAAAAGTTTCCCTATGCGTGCATGGTGCAGCCAAAGCACGACCAACTTCAGGAAAACATGCTACTGCTCTGCAAAGGAATGTGCTCTCCTACATGAATTACATTTCCAAGATAAAGACTAAGACCTCACAGAAATATACTCTTAAGCATCTTACCTGCTTTGTCATTTGCCAAACACAGTCAATGAACTGAAGGAAAATGGGAGATCTGTCTGCATCAGCATGATCATCATCTCCATGTCCTACTCGCTGAAAGTCAAAACAAACTTCATTTCAGTCTAGTGTATTTACAGTACTATCCCAACACTTTAAAACTGAGTGACTCTTAAATAGGTTCCAAAGGTGAACAATACAAGCAGACCTTCCCTAATGCTAACCTGTATTTTTCAACTACTAAAAATGCACCCCAATATTCACTTATGGACATGCCTTTGCTGTTGAGCAGAGCTGGAAAGACGCTTGGTCAACAAAGCTGTGCCCATCTTTTATTGCATGGCCATTTATTTCTACCAGTGGGTCAAACTGGTAGGTATTCACAAAGGCTGTACTGAAACAATTTTTCCATATCTACCTGCCATAACTACATGTAATTTCTCCTAAACCATCTTAGAGTCAGAGCCCACAAAATGTCTTAATAATTTATGTCCTAATTCCCCACTAGCCCATGTGTTAAATAAACACTTCAACCTTAAATCAGAGTAATGGTTCCAGCAATTTTACCTTCTAGACACCTTAATTGTTTTCTTTGTTTCTCCATTCATAAGATTGTTAAAGATGAAGCAATGTGTTACAATCCCTCTTCCTCATAAAAAATCCATGTGATTTTTTTTAACCATTATGTTCAAGCCACTTAATTCTTATTTACTTTATATTATACCTCACACACAGATTTCCTGTCAAAAATGAACAGGTCACAATTCTCTGACACTCACATCATTAAAAGAAGGACACCAGAGATAATAACTAAAATGCAGCAGAGTACTGTGAGAAAACATGCTATTCAAAATAAAAGCCTTGAAGGTGACCATTGCAAATGCTTACCATTGCAAACCGGTGTCCAAAACTTATCCATTCTTTCTCTATAAGAACTTCAAATCCCTTGATAGTTCTGTAATAGCTGTCCAGCATAAGCATAGCTAGTGCAGTAAGCTGTGCAGTTCGATCCCAACCATCACTGCAATGTACAACTACAGATGTTTTACCAGATTCAATTTTATCTGCAATTCTTACTGCTCCGGCAAGAAGCATCTTAAATAAACAAAAATAAACAAACAAGCATATTAAATACTAACCAAAACTCTATCAAAAGAGTTATAATTTTACACTCTTAAGGTTAATATATTTTCAATTTTCAGATTAATTACATAATCATCTGGACGACATTGCTTTGATTTAGAGATTCCCAAATGGTGGTATGCATACTCCTAGAGGTACAAAAACTGTGCACTCTGTTGACCAGAAGAGAGTTCTTACCAGCTCTCCATTATCAGTAGCGCATAGCAAAAGAACCTGGGAATCCCTTCTCTAAATTAAATCTGAAATTCTGTGTCATGAGGAAAAGACACAAATACTGTAACCTATTCCAAAGGCTGAAGGTTCAATGTTTTCAAAGTTCATGTTCACAGTAATCAGTCACTCTTTCTTCCTCAGCTTTCAGTTCTCAATTACTAAGTTTAGAGAAAGGGACAAACTATCTAGCTAATCTAAATCAGAACACAACCCAAACACACCCAGAAACCCCTGGCTGGGAGCCTGTGTTGATTTGCTGGTGCATGAAGTATACATTGTACTCAATTCATGAGCAGACCCTTAATAGTGGATTCAGAAGCATGCTGGAGAGCAAAAAGATGGAGATGCCACAGGACTGATATCACCTGTATGAACTTCTTAATTCTTCTTCCCCACAAAAAAACCTCTCTTGTTCTCTTATGCCAGCTTTTTAAAAAACTTGAATAATCTCTCTACTGTGAAGATTTGTCTCTGTCTTTGTAACATGACCTATCATGGCACTGAAAAATACATGAAAAAAACCCAACCACTAGAATAGAACCACAGGAGAAATTCCTATTCTGCATTCCAACACCAGAAAATGGAATCTTGCAAAATACTTGAATTTTCCCCTTCCCAGACATCTAAAAACACCTTCTGGGAAGTAGGAAAGCCAGCAACCACTGCAGAAGCTATGCACAAGACCAGTCTTCAAAGTTATTTCAATTACCATGCTTTAGAGGCAATTCTCATTGATCGTATCTTTTATGGTAAAACTAAAGGGTGCCAGGATGGAAATATCAGGAAACAATACAAAAGCATCTATGGGAGAATGGAGCTTGTGGTCTGAACTAGTTAACTGCCAATTTCTTCAGTTACAAAGCTCTACTTTGTAAATAATAAATATTAAAACAGTTCGGTCTTCAATAAAAGCAGAAAACTTATCTATATAACATACAGGTATGCAATAGCTTGCTCTAAATTGTCCTAAAGAGAACACAGATGCCTCTGAAGGAGTACAGCTGAAAATAAAAAGACAGAACAGATACAGGCAATAAGCAGAGAATAGGAGACAGAAAACAGAGTTACTATTAATTCAGTAAATATCTGTGGAGTAGGTGAGGCATTTTATTCTACTTTGGACAAAAGCCTTTAGAAAACAGATTCCTCCACAAACTATTATTTTTTTTTATAGATGTTTCAAAACTTAGCAATCATCAGTATTTCAGTTAGGGCTCCTAATGAATAACCGGCTTTAGATTGGCTTAGAAAATGAGAACTGGTTTAGAAATAATTAATAGCACAAGTTCTATCCTGAAAGGCAGAAAATACCCTGGAGGGCATGAGGAAATATCCTGGGTGTACAAAAATCACTAAGTGACCCTACTCCTGTTGTTACTACTGTCTTCACACACACAGAATGTTACTGGTGCCTCTTCAGACACTTCTGGATCATCTTCAAAGTGCTGTGGCTGCCCAGGGCTAGGAAGGTGAATTTCCAGTAAAGCATCACATTAAACTGGGACACAACCACACTGGTCTAAGCCCGGAAAACAGAAGATGCGTTAGAGTAAAGCTGTGGATTTGTTAACTACTGTTACAAGCCAAATCAAATAGGTAGGAAGCCAAGCAATTATTGCATAAAAGCACCAGAAGATACTATCAACATTGTTAACACAGTAATGGCAGCTTCTAAGAAACCAGGCTACGCCTTGTGCTGTTAATACCCTAACGTGAAGTATCATGTAAGGGACAGGTTCATGAAGAATATTACATGTGTGTCAATTCTGTAAAATAATTTAAATGAAATTTCACATTGCTGTGCTGTTGTCATCTGTGCAACAGTGATATCAAGGTCCGCTTCTCACATGGAAGCCAACGTCAATGAAAGGTGACCACTGGCTCAAACAACGCCACTTTTAAAAATAGACTATTGTATTTAATGCCAGGCTGATAAGAAAAGGTTTCCAGATACTCAGATTCTCAACAGTGTTTGACATAGTCCAACTCCAAGAGAACAAGAAAATTAAACTATTCCCAAAAGATCATTAAATTTGTTTAATTCTTAATTTAAGCATTTGCTCCCTCTACCGGTTCTCCTGCAGCAGTTAGCAAGCACTAGTTAACAGAAAAGTAAAACTAATGAACAATCCCAAACACGTTTTGCATGAGTGACATTTGAGCCAGTTGCTAATAAAGCAAATTCCACTCCATCCATATTCATCATAAACAGGGGAGTGAATGTGGTAATGAAATAATCTATTCTAAAAGCATTTCAGAGGTTAGTGAAACAGACTGTAAAACTGAGTATGGTAGTGATTTATTTTAATATTATGTTAAATAATAGAGCAGATTATGACCCAGTAGAGCACTGACTATAAACAGCCCGTGAAAACGTAGGTGCCCGACACATGAACACTAACATTGCATTGAAGGAGGGAAGGATGAGAAAGACTGCAGAATTTACAGTCAAGTCCTTTTGGCAGTTGTTCAAATATAATCTGAAGTTCCCACGGCATTCTTCCAAAAAGCAGGGATAACCCTGGACTGCTCACAAACATTCCCTCTCAAGAAAATAAAACATTGTCCAACACTAAATATGATACTGTGCTATCAGGAATTAACTCATTACCTACCAATACATAAAACAGGAAACACAAAGTTATTATGGAATGCTTAAAATGCTATGTTCTAAGTGACCATTCAAAAATTAAGCTTTCTTACAAGATTATCCTGATCAAAGCAACGTGCTTAAATCTAGTCATTATTTTAGTAATATTTTCAGAAATGCAATTTAAAAACATGGTTTAAAAAAACAATTGATTTTTCACATCAAAAGTATTTTACCCTTATATATTCCAGCCAATGCGTGGAGTCCACATTCGATAACCACCGAGTCTCATCAATAGTAGGATAAACTATTTCTTTAAGTTTACGCAGGGATTCTCTCATTACGTGTATATTATGAATTTCCAGAAATACCAGCTCTGCATTTGGGTAGGCACTTTCACTTTCATACCCTCCACCTTTTGCCTGTCATTCAAAAAGTAAAAACAGATGAAAAAAAGAACATGTACAGGACTTCAGTATAAGGTTGAGTTATTTTGGTCAGGGTTCAGGATTTTCTCAGAGAAAGGATTATTTTAGCACTAATAAAAATGTATTTTTGGCTTTTGTTTTTCTAAGAATCACTAGGATATTTTTTTTAGGTGAAAGAAATTCTAAGTATAATAGGCTACATTTGATAATACATCCATATACTTTCCCCTTTTTACTACTGAAACCTTTGGTCTTCTGTGGACTTTACTGCGTGATTTCTCAGCTACGTCTTCATGCTGCCTTCCATTCCTGCCAGCCTTTCCAAACTGCTATAAGCAACTTATGTTCATTCCCATGCCCTCTTCAGAGACCCTTTTTTATCTCTTTTTGACATCAAGTTCTCCTTATCTTCATCTCTTACTCAACCTTCAGCCTTGTAATGAAGATAGAACTATTAATGCTAGTTATGATACCAGCCTACCTTGTTTGTATCTGCAACACTATTCTGTCTGGCATCAAAGATGATAAGTTTATGTGACTGAGCATTGGCATCCATTATTGTCTGCAAATATTTTTCATCTTCTTTGCAACGCTTATCATTTGGGCCTACAGATGGCTGACTGCATCGTGTTATCGTTGCTTGGCTCTCAGGATGAATCCAGGATAACACCTGGAATAAAAGAAAATTATTTTAGTTTACTACACTAGTATTAAAGCAGCAGGCCAGAGTGCAATTAGACAATCACACTGCCTACATAGCATTATTTCCTGGCAAATCAGCAAATGCAAATTTAAGGACAAGCTGATGCAAAACCATATTGACAGCACACTAGCACTGCTCATCCCAAATCTGAGCCTGAAATACAAAGTGATTCTAAACATCTTAGCTTTTATTTCTAATAAAAACTAAGGCTGGTACTGCATCTTACTAATTAGAAAAAAAAAAGAACAATGGAGGAAGAAAAACTGCTTCCATGTGGAAGTCTACAGACCTATATACTACCCTGCTAAGCAGATCTATAGCACAAAAACTGTCACGATCTAACGTATTTAAAGGGGTTCTTATGCTACCTGCAAAACTTGTCTATTCTCAAGAAAACTGCTATGGCTGTAGCACATTCCACACCAAATCAGAACACAAGCTAATATGTGAATTAGCATCAGATACCATTATGGCTTAGAAGTGTTAACTCCAAAGAAAATTTTATTACATGGCACAATAACCAAACAATTAAGACTCATAGTTGAATTGCTCTCTTCAGTTCTAAACCCATCAAGCCTAATTCTTCTTTCTTTGTCGTCCCCCCCCTTCAGGAAGGAAGCCAGCCCACTGTTATTTAAAAAAAAAGCCGAAAAGAACTCTGATAATTTCTTATAAGCTACAATTTGTAGAGCACTTATATCTCCTTGTAAAAGTTTCACTTACTGGAACTCTGCCTTTTGCTCTAAATGCTGCCACTTTTGAGAGGTCATCATCCTTCACGCTGGTTGGCACAACAAGAACAGCAGGATATGTATCACAAAGCTCATAGCTGCTGTTAATTTTGGATATTTTCCAACTCTCATTGGGCAAGCCCTGTATGAAAGCAAAATATTACATATCTTAGTTTGGAGCGATGAAAATTTTTATATGCTACATACTTTTTTTAAAAAAAAGTGTACCCACGTATTTAAATAAGCTATAAACTTTAGGTCTTCATATTGAACCATAAACCAAAACACTGAAAGTCTTTTCTATTTATTTTCTTTAAAACTGATATATAAAATAAACATTTGAATAGGCTGCACACTCAGGTAAAAAGTGATCATATAGTAAAATAAAAATACTTTTGCAACTAGAGAACTGTAGATTTACAGCAACAAACTACAGTTACTCTTCTGTTTAACACTGCTTATTCAAAACCAAATTTTTATAAAGCCTGTATTTTCTAGAAACAGCACTTGGAAAATGTGGATTTAAGAATGCATGTTAAGATAGACCAGTTTGCTCAAGTACTCAGCACCTGTTATCTCCATCAACTTTAGCCAGTGCTCAACACTCTCAAAGTCAGGCCACTTGCATTTTATTATCTAAACATGAGATCTAGACAGTCTCTGTATGTAGCTAGAGCTGAAAATTTCTAGTTTTAATATTTTTTTCTTCTTTAAATGGCTCGGGGGGTGGAGAAAAAAATAACACACCAAGTACTTAGGTAACTTACCTGCCTCTTATATTCTGCCATTGGATCATACACTTTCCAGCCATTAACAGCAAACTTTTCTTTATAGCTGAATGCAAAAAGAGGCTAAAGACAACAAAGCAAAGGCATAAATTACTGTCTAATGGGCTGTATGCACAATAAGCTCCAAAACAGTGAACCTTCTAGTATTTCAAATGTAACACTTCTAAAACTCTTTAACAGCAGACATAAAACCTTCAGTCAAGACTGGACAACACTGTGCTAGAAAGAAAATGAAAGACAGTTTCCTTCTTCAAGTACACAGTATATAATTAACAAAATCAAGATACGAAACAGTTAGAGACAGTTGAAGTTACTTGCCTGTGATCATACAACACATCAATGGCAAAGCCAGGATGACAAAATTGGTCTCCTACCCCCCAACCAGCTCCTTACCCATACAAGCAAATGAAACAACATTCTGCAGCTAACTAATAAGACTAATTCTATCTGTTGTCTTAGACAGAACTTAAGACTCAAACCTAGATCTCAAGAGTTATGTAAAAATTAACTAACTTCACCAATAACAGGACATAGCATGAAGTTTTACAAATTAACACAAGAAAGAAACAGGGTCAGAGCAGCTTGCCTGGTCTGTAACAGATTTTATGAATCAATATTGCAATGTTTGTTATACAGCCCTTTTATTTCCCCACCTACACTTTCCAAAAAGAGAAGAGCCAGTGACAGCCTTCTCTATATTTTAAGACTTACCAGCCCATTAGAAACAGGAAATGCACGTGTTACGAGATTTTCAAAAATCTCCAATCTGTTCTGCTCTTCCTGTTTATAGGCCAGCCGCAAATTTCTCATATCCTGTCAAAAATAAGTTACACTATTTTACTCCATGATAAATTTAAAAAAAAAAAAAAAAAAAGGCAGTTACAAGAAATTTGATTGAAAGAAGGCATATATGTAGCACTAAATCACTGACATCACCTAACCCACATTAGAACAGAGTTCTGTAACGGTTTGTATCAGATGGCTAGGATCGTCATTAGAGTTGCTAGATATAAACCCAGCCATTTTTCCTTTGAATTCACTCTTGAGACAAAAAGCAGAAGTGTTTAAGACTGCAAGTATCATAAGAGGAATTGAAATATATTACTTAAATGACGCAGCACTCAAGTACAGGGAACTGATCAGACAGAAAAACAGCACATGTGCATGCAGATTCCTCTTACAGAAAAATGAAATGAAAATACTTTAATATGAATAAAACTTTACCATGCCCTACCTTGCAAACTATTTCTATACCACATGAATTGTCTCCGTGGCTCTGTACTCCAATTTTTTCAACTCTACTTATGACTCCAAGGGGAACATCAACAACAAAAGGTGGATCCTGAAATTTGTTTATAAAACAAATGAATTTTGTTACATTAGGAGGAACACAGAACTAATATTATTCATGTATGTTTCATTAGAGTCAACTATAATTCCTGTTTAATAGGCTGCTGTGGAACATCATACTACACTTACAACAAATTTGTCACTTTCTGAAATTTACTTCAGCAACATTCCCACCCGAAACAATATGCAGATAGATAGCAGTCTTACCCTTTCAACACTTTTGATATACATTCTGAAGTCCGTCACTGTTAGTGTACCACTGACTGCTCCCATAAATGGACAGATATACATAACATCTTTAGCTGGAAAACAGACCAATTAAAGCTTTGTTTTACTCTTACGGACATTTGTTCCAAAAAAAAATCTATTTCCATTTAAAAATAGCAAGATTTTTGCAGTTCCATGAGATTTTGATGCTTGGTCTCTATAGAAAAGCCTACTCTTCAGATGCTGTCAGGACTGAAAGAGCTGTCTTTATCTCAACAATGAAAACAATCAAATTCCTCAGTCCCACTGCAGCTGAGCAACCACTGAGCAACTGGGGCTGGGCTCAGCTAGCATGGGCTGCAGTAAGGGCAGGCAGGTAACAAAGCAGCACCCTGCTGGTATTCCTAGCTGCAAGTGGCTCTGGTCCCTGCCCTGAGGTGTAAAGCACCCACAGGCACCTCAGAGAGCGAGCATCCATCCAAATGGACAATTACTGATATGTACGCAATTGACCTCTGAGTAATTCAGTTATATGCCTACATCTTCATTTTCACTCTTTAGCTAGTATTCTTTTCTAGCCAAGTACTGTACTGCTAACACAGAGCTTGCTGTCACAGGCCAAAGTGAAATAAATCTCATTAAGAACTGGAAACTAAGTTTTTCATAACTTCATCTTCTTTGCTATCACAGTTCTGAAGCTTTTGAATCTATTAAGTATCCCTGGCACGCCCCAAGCAGAAATACAACACATACACCTATATGGAACAAACTAACCTTTGAAAAAAAATTATTTATCTATATGGAGCAAGTCATCCTCTAAAACTGATTTCTCCTTCCTACATTTAGATTTAAAAGACAAAGAAGAGAAATCCACATCAAATCAGCTAATCTAAAGTGGCATTAAATTAAAATAGCAAAAGTCAAAAGGAAATAATATTCTGTTTTTAAATAAATAAACTAGTGATTTAATAGTATTCAGTGTAGTACTCAACAGTATGCTTACCAATAACTTTGATTGATTCTCCAGGAAAAAGTGGAGCCTCTTCCATCTGTGCTAGTTTGTTTCCATCCCGCAGTGCCTGGCAGAAATCCAAAACCATGAGTAAATCTCACTTTCCATCTGTACTACATTGATACATTTTGATGCAAAGTGCTTTTACTACCAGATTACTGGAACACAAGAAGTGTATCTTTTTTTACAAGGCACAACTGCATTAACCAGTACCACAGTAAAAAAAACCACAACACAGAACTCAGTATTATAAATATTACAGAGACATACATGTTAGTAACATATTAGTAATAAAGCATTTTAATCAGTTTCACATGCTAGCTACATATAGCATACAAAAATAGGAACAGTAAGATCAGCCCAAATTTGTAATTAATAATTTGTTAGTCTTTTGCTAAATGCAGGTATTATTTTGGGTATTTTATCTACTTAGGAACGTTTTAAAGCTCATATTAAATTTTTTTCTATTCTTAATGTTGTTTATTTGAGTATTTTCATGTGAGAGAATTATATGGCAGAAGCTTTACTTATTTAATATTTTAACTTTGTATTTTTGATAGCAAGAAGTCAGAAGCACCCCACGATGCTCTATTTCAATCAATACCCTACTGAGAGTACCACAAGTTGTGGAAGAGGTCCATTATAGGAATTTTGGATCCAGAAGGTCAGATTAAGAATGAAGTAATAATGAAATATAGAAGAACAATTAGCAATTTTAAAATAAGGGCTAGTTCCATAAATTTTCATTTAAGTAAATGGCTTCATTCCTGAATGATACAAGATTGATCCTTTGGGTCCTTCACTGCCGGCTAAGATTTATAATGTACTAAAGATTCTAATTAAGAATAAAAGGGTTTGCAGGACTTTTAAGGACCACGTGAGAAAGTGATCTCTCTCGGGTCAACATGATGAGATATTAAGGTTTCAATTTTTTACATCCTAAAGTGAGAATAAATATAATGGGCTATGTTACAGTAAACAACTCTTCCCTTGTATTGCAGCTCTGATGCACATACAAATAATTGGTAGAATCTATCTGTCTCCAAACAAACTACCTTAAGCTCTCAATAATAAATAATTTCCAAAGATATTTCAATTGATCTCTGGCTTTAGATTTTCTTGGAAACTAACAGAATTTTATATTCAGCACCCAATCACAAAAGATGGGTGTGTAGAGAATCAGCCATTACTTAAAAACTTACAAGGGCAGATGTGCTCTGTCAGACCGGGGCTTACGTGCAGTATTACATTCTAGACTACAGGACATTACACGAAAACCCTACCTAGCACATAACCAGTTAACACACTAAATGCTTTCTATGGATTCTCTTGCATGAGAAATACAAGATTTGTATGTACTGTACAAGTACTAATATATAGTACCTTGCTACACAGTTAATGAATGAAAGATGAGTAAAACTTGCCACCTGATCAGGTTCTGCTTCAGAATGATAGCCATTGTGTCCATCCTGAATCTCCTGCATTGCATGAGGCAGCAGTAGAGCAAGGGAGAAGTAACAGGAAAAAACATGCAGACAACAGGTGAAAGGACAGAATCTTTTCTTTTTTGTTTCCCTTTTTTATTTTCTTTCCTTAAAAAGACAGCATATACTTTAACTCCAGCCAAGCTAGTCAAAATTTTCCGCTCCTGGCACAAACTACTTTCCACAGAAAGGAATCCAAGCTATTAGCACTATCCCTTTAATGTTTTTGGCACCACGCAAAATGAAAAATTTACTCCCTTTTTCACAAAAGACTCAGTGCTGGTAGATAAGAACATAAAAGTATGTACTGTCTTTTTAAGACAAGCAACCTTATATTGAAAAAAATTAATTCAAAGTATGCCACATGCTTATCAATAGAAGAAATTGAGTACAGCTTGCAATGGTAGCATTAGGGGAAAACTCATGCAAGCTTTCAAGGAAAAAATAGGTCAACATCAAATAGAAGTATCTAGACAATTTAAAAAATGCTTTACTGTGTAAAACATGTTTTAATCGAACTTTCAGTTTTATGGTTTCACGTATTTTTCCAGCAACTTCTGTGCTGTTGCTGGAAACCTAGTCAGTAACTTTACAGAACCTAAAATTACTCCTCATTAACAAAATATGCAAAAAATTCACATTTTTATGTTAATTTATTTTTGCATCATACTGGCAGCAAATCCTGAATATTAATTAAATCTCTTCAATAAACATAAGGTCCCTATGCACTCCAGAGAGAAGTACAAATGTCATAGGGTCATATAAAGTAATTGTTTTAATATGTTCAGCCAAAATTTTCTTCCATCTTCTTTCTTTCCTTATTAACTGGAGAGAAGTTGTCTGACAGTCTATTATTCCCAGTTCAGATGCAAAGAACTTCTCACCTGATAGACTGTAAAACCTGCCTCAGTCTAAATTTACAAATGTTTGCTAAAGTCAATTTTTCTTTTTACAGTACTTCTACAGAAACCTCAAAAAAGAAGAACTTAGAAGAACTTCAGATATCTTCAGATAATTTGAACTCTACAAAAGTTTAAAGTTATAATTAATTAAAAAACCCTTTCAAATTATAAAGGACTCCTAACATTTATGTATTGGTGGAATTTTGTTAAACAGAAATTACTTAAATTTCAGACCATAAAAATGTTGTTTCTGAAATTAAAGCAAAATAGATATTGTGATCTCTGGAAGAAAACCAGAAGGACAACCAGCAAATACACCAGAAGATTTTAAATAAATGAAAGAAGCACAGCAGATCATTCAAAGATGAAAGCCTTTACAAAGAACTATGAAAAACTGAACAAAAACAATCAATTTTTTGTTACTCAACCCAGACGGATTATTTCAAGAGCTATCTATTTAAAAAAAAAAAAAAAAAAAAAAAAAAATCAACTTGTGGATTTGCATGATTGGACTAAACACATCATTTTCAAATATGTAAACAGATGAGAAAAAGAAATCATTCAGACTTCATCTCTTGGTCTGAGACTGAACAAGAGGTCTTTGTTTGAATAAAAGTGTTAGACACATTTCATGAACAATGTCAGAACACTATCCAGATCATTTCTCACTCCATAAATGTTACTAAGAGAGAGGGACAAGAAAACAAGGCATGCCCTTTTTATATCTCCAATGAACAATGGGCAAGACCTAGTCTCAAAATTATCATTAAAAAGATGCAGGTCATTGCACTAGTGTCTAACTTCAAACTTAACTTTCAATCCTACTACAGGGTAGTAACAATTAAAGTAAAACATGTACAAAGGCAAGCATGAATTGGTATCTTATTTAAATAGGACAGACAAAGACGTAACGCTGTTACTACTAATATTCTTCAGCATAGATAACATGTTAGAGCTGCTAATACAGTACTCTGTAGTCCGAAGCATGTAAGCCTCAGTTGCAAGCATCCACTTTGTCAAAATTAATGCAATAAAACTGAAGTTAGTATTGCACATTCATAACATAATTTAAAAATACTGCTCTCTTACACATTGACTTTTATTGCTCATGAAAACATTGTAATGTATATAAAGCATTTCTATGGCAAAGAAGCTGTTGCACTGCATAGCAAAATGGTCTGACTGGTACATAAAAACCATTAATGAAGTAAAGAAGAACGCTTGACACACCAAGATCTCACACAGCACAAAAGACAAACAGGTAGGAGGCCGTTTTACTGCTAGCCAAAGGTAATCTTACCCGTATAACAGGCCTCCTGTACACCTGTTAGTTAAAATATAAAATGTTATCCAACAAAACACACAATTTGATTTGTTAAAGATATCTTACTTCATCAGATTTTCAGAAGAACTTTACTTCCAAACATTTTAATTATAGCTGGATTTTGAAAGAACAAAACAAAACTATGCAGATCTAGTAGCTCTCATTTGCAGAATTGTTTTGGTCTAAAAACAATCTAGCCACTTCATTTTAGTGATGTAACAAATGTCAAGCTCTTTTGAAACGTTCATTCCTAATCACCCTTTTATCCAGTTACAATGCGCTATTGTGAAAAGAGAAGAAAGAGCCTGGTAATCCTTCTAGGTGGAAGACAGTAAGACTGCACTAACAGCCATGAAGTATAACCACCATATCTTTTAGATTCAAATGGCAAAACAAGGATAGCAACAACTCCTCTCAACTTATTTCTGAAGGTGTCTATATTCAGCTACTATCATCTAAGCAATTGTCATTTATATGAACACCTCATTCAAGAATACTCTCCAGGCAGAAAGTATGTCAGAGAAGACAGACACAGCAGAGTTCAAACTCAGAGTGAGATCATGCTGCTGTAGGGTTTAGCAAGCAAGAGCTCGCTCAGTACTTTCCAGTTTTGATGATCTCATTTGCAGCCCCTTTGCTTCCGTTTGCTTCCCCCCTCCCCGAAATTACATTTTGGTAAGGTAAGTTACACAGAGTAACATGAGGAACATCATTAGATGCAAGAATCTATATGTTTACCTGTTTTTTACAAACATATTGATTGAAACATTAAAAAAAGGATGAAAGAAAGAATAAAGCAGCGAGTTCCTGGTAAATCCAGCAGAAAGCAACAGAACTGCCTGACCAGTTCCAGAAGCGCACACACGCGCCTGGCCCTACCTGAAGTTTCTGAGTTGTTGTAAAATAGTCTCTAAATGCAGCAACTCGAGGTAACCAAATGTAACAAAGACACAGAAAATTGCTCAGCGTGCATCAAAAGGGAAAGATGTCTCAAAGGAAAATGGAGTTATAAACGGGCGTTATCTTTTTACATGTAATGATGAATAAACCCAGCCTAAGCAACTAGTCGTACCACTGAACTTCAGCAGAAGCTACGTGCAAAGAAAACCCTCTCCTAAAACATAGACACCGCTTCACAAGATACTGGTCCTGAACGTAACTAAAGATATTCTAGGATAAAAAAATTCCATGATGCTATACACAAATACAGGATTTAAGATCACAGCAATGCAATGATGCCAAATACAATTTATACACAAAAATTCTTAAAATCACCAGGCTTAATTCTTTTTCTTTCACTTCTATGAAACAGAGAATGAAGCAGAATTTTAATTAAGCCTTAAAACACTTGTTCCTGTTAAATAATATCCAAGATGAATTTGGTATAGAGAAGGAGGTTATTTACAATTAAAAAGTGCTCTTTATTCCAGAGAAATGCATTCTAACTCAGCGATAAACTGAACACCAAGCTTACATACTTGGATTTTACTAAAATGAAGTCCTTGATCTACAGGGCAAATAAAACATCAACAGCTGTAATGCAAGGTTTCCCACAATGTTTTATCAAAGATGTTAGCCTTGACCTGAAATAAGCATTTGCAATTCAGCTGCCATAGTACAGAAGAGCTACACTTTTTTATGAGTATAAGCTGCTGACTGTGCCAATAGTGTGAAACTCTGTGAGGTGAATTTTTAAGTAGAGTACGGTCAAAAACATTTTGTGGATTCATCTTCAGGCTTATGCTGAATCTGACCTGCTGTCACAGAATCTAAAATACGCTGTTTCTGGACAACAAACTTTTTAATCACAGAGCGTATTAGAAAATAAATTAAAATCTAGTTAAAACCAAAACCAGATAAAATCTTCATTTGGCCATTTTGCATGAAGACCATGAAACTGTTTCAAATCTAGGAAGAAAAAGGATCTAGATAGCAGCAGCCTGGGTTTCTTAAAGGGACTTGAAACACAGGTGACTTTTGTCAATTTGTAAGAGAAGGAAAGCTGCATATGCTCCACTCTTGATAGTTCAGTTTGCTGGCTGAACGGCATATAGGAAACAGCAAACGAGCACGAAAGAATAGGGGTAAAAAAGCATAATGGAACCTACCAGGTGAACCATACTGTGCAATCATTACCTTAACGACAAAAATGTTGCTGGGAGGGAATGAGAAAGGTGATTTGTTTGTTTGCTTGTTTGATGTTAAATTCTCTGCCTCTGGTGAAACCCCATGAAAAATGATAGTCATTTATGTTCTTTGCATGGTAACAAAGACACATGCATTTATGTTTTGTGAGATCTGGAGACCTCAACTCTGTACTCTGAATGACACGCACTAGAAACAATTTCAACCTGTAACTATTAATCTACTTTACCGATTTTTTTTAATGCAGTAATCAAAAGACAACTCACTTTTAGCATTCTATTCAAAACATTGACTTTTAATTTTCCTTTCACCTGTCTCTTAATTTTTATTCTGTAGACTTCAATGCCACTATTCTAAATATGGAGGAAAACACAAAGCAGATTCAAGACTCCTACGCATAATGAGATGTTTCCAGCTCTGAAACATTCAGCCATCACTTAAGTACTTACCATCTGATAATCAAGGTAGCAAGGACTTTCCTGATCATTCACTCTTTTATCTTAAACAAATCAATGCATTCCTCAAGTCACTTACCCTGTAGTCTCTGGACACACCTTCTGATGGGACAGACCCTGAAATCTGACTAGAAATGGTTGCAGCTATCAGCTGTTTACACCATTCCACATGGGATCCAGTCGGGCTACAAAAACAATATTTCAAATTATTTAGCAATAATTCAAAATGCATACTTAGAATAGCATAGGAACTGAGCACATCCAGAAAACAAGACCATAAATGATCACTAACATCATAAAAATTAGCTTGCTTTGTGGGCAGAATCCAACTGTTTTGCTGATCAAATTCGGGAAAAGAATTTTACTAGATCTTATCAGAGATGTAGAGCTGTCAGGAGGTTAAAAGTGAGGTTAGGGTCCTAGGAACTTATAAAAATGTTGGTTTCCTTATCCAGTATAATTTTTTTCATCATTCACACATTTTTTTCTTAAAGCCATCCATGGAATTAATTTGATCAAGTAATAGGAAACTCCTTACACTTTCCTTATTATTATTTCCTGATTATTCAGGACATCCTCAAAATTAAATTCCCTGTATGCCAGCATTTAAAAATTTAAGATACGCTCGTGTTGTATTCTACATTAATATTAAATGTAGAAAATACATGTTTTCTAAAGGGTAACTTCTAGTTAGCCATATCTTTTTCCTATTCATAAAATAATCTCTGAATAATCTTTAGGACAGGCCTTCCCATGCCACAGCAAGGAATTCTGCAGTGTTAAGGTGTTTATAAGAACCCTAAAGACAAAGCACCTGAACAGCAGAATTGCACTAAATCCCAGATGATGCATTTTGAGAACAGTTGCCTGAAATAGCACTGCTTACAAATAATGTAGTATTTGAGTGTGAGAAACAATTACACAGATTGTTGCCAGCTACTTTGAAGAGCACTAGGTCTGCTTCAAAACATGCCAGTATCTAATGAAAAACTGGGAATGCCAGAGGGAGCTGTTCCCTGAGTGCCACAGCAGCCTCAGCCAATGCCTTCGGTATAGTTGGGCTCTTCTACAGATTTAATGCTTATTTGGAAGTCAAATACAGAAAGAAAATTTTAATTCATTTTTAGAATTCATTCATAAACTAGCTTTGGATTCTGTGAGTATCCCGTGACATTGAAGTGAATAACTACATACGCATAGCCAGCACTCGACAGGTGCACCACAACTTGGCCATTAAGAGGGTGGGATAATGGCATAAGATGACCATTTACTACTTAACTAGAGGTCTTTTCTTATATTAACTCTGCTAGGATAGGTAGATCTAAGGTGAAGATGCATCCAACAACTTCATACCTGAAATGAAAGCTCTTTCAGAACTTTTCTGATAAATTTTAGTAGCTTTCTCCCCACCTGCAAAATTCTACACAGTACTAGATCACAAAACATTGGTTTGCAGCTAAAACACATCTGTGATATTCCCACTTGAATAACAAAGATAATTCTCAGGTTAGTGCTGAACTCGAGTCCAGATTCACTTAGAGAAACTTTTTACTTAAGTTTTGCAAAAGAGTGCATGAGCTAAACCCTACAGTAATCCTCTTCTGATCTCATTTATTTCTCCTTCTCTTACATCTCTTAATTTCTAGTGCATCTCTTTAGGGTTCACCTGTTTCCCAGTAAGCATTTACTTGTTATTTAAGAAAAGGATTTATTTTTCTATGACTTATCTTCACCGGGTATCACTACATCAACAAAGTTAATAGCAGCAGGAAAACAAATATGAATGCGGGTCCATCTCCTAGGATCACTGTCTCAGGATGTATCAGCGTACCGCAGGATGCTGATCACGCCGATGTGACTTATCACCATCTATCAAGTGGGACACATACCAGTACACGTCTTTTCATTCTGTCTCATCTGAGGTCACGCACATTAGTGTAGCCTGGTACAACCGTACTGGCAAATAAGTAAGTTACGTGACAAACGGATATTACAACTTTTCCAGGGTAGAACAAGATTAGAAGGAGAAAGAAAGATGAAAATTAAGATAAGAAAGTACATTAATAAGGAATACAAAGATGTAAGGTTTGGTGATAGAAAAGGGACATTTGATTTCCTCCTTCATTAGAATGATGTAGAACTCCAGGTTTCTCCTAACAGAAAAGAGAGAGAATATGGAGACTGGAACTGGGCCCTGATTTTTAAATACAGCCTTTATTTTTCAATCTGGGTGAAATTTCCATTAGTTTCTACTCCTTATTTAAGGATTTTTAAATTCAGCTCCGAAGTCTGCCTCCACCTGGAAACTTCTAAAGGAAGGAATGACTCTGCCAGCAACTGCTGGACTAGATGCGGTAACACCTGGTGTCAAACTCCCGCGTCCCCACCGCGGCGAAGCCCCCCCAGCCTGCAGCCAGCCGAGCATCTTCCTCCGAGACACGCACCCACAGACGAACTGACACACCGGGGGGGGGACACAAGGCTGCTCTGGGACGGTTACAGCTCTGCAGATGAAACACACGCTCGCATGAGGGAGGGAGGGGAAAAAAAAAAAAAAGGCCTTAAAATCTGAGACCAGTCTCACTTGAGTTTGCAAAGATGAGAAGCTACGCGCTGCCCAAAAACCCCCGGGCCAAAATCCCGCAGGCAGCCTCAGCCTTCCCGCCGCCGCCGCCGTGACTGACGAAAAACACACGACCGCAAGCAGGAAACTTTGACAACAGCCAGTTCCCCCGCCGAGGAAAATCCGCCGGTTACACAAAAATAAACGCCCAGATTGAAGTTACTCGGCCCGGCTGGGCTCCGCGCCGGCGGGCAGGCCGCCCCAAGGCCCGGGGTGGGGGGTGGCCCAGCTGCCCGGAGGCTGGGGCCGAGGGGCG